TATATATATATATTTAATTATAATTCTTGCACAATCGTTAAACTCGAATACAACTATTCATTACGACAAATAGATGAAACGTCAGGTGCCAGCAGTTTTGGGTCGAAACATCCACGGCTGAAACAGTTAGTAGTGATTAGTAGTTAGTACTGATAGGAAAATACAGACTGAAATTTGAGAATTTTCTCGAAGAATTTAGAAATCTTAGACTTGAAGTTTGCCGTTGCTATGTTGCTATACGTTACGTGTGACACCGCGCACTGAAAACGATACTAAACGTACATCTTAAGCCATTTGATTTCAAAAATACCTAAATACACACAGACAAATAAAGTAGTTTAAAATGTTAACCTCTTTATTGTGACAATCATTGTACTGCCCATCATAGTTCACTATGAACGAGGGCAGACATAGGAATTCATAACCGCATTTCGATTTCAAAGCATAAAAATTGTTCAATAACTAATAATATATGTTGCGTATTTGAGTGCGGGTGAATAGTCTAGAGTGTAGTTGATATAACTCGACGAAGACTTGAACAGTAAAGCCATACTTATAACGATTTTATCCAACGTATTTAATTTCATTACTAGTATATTCATTTTACTGTGTCTTCTTTACAAGAGACCACACTATCTTTGAAAATGAGGAGATACAAAGTATTAAAGGGCGGTGGTCGTCGCGTTTTCGAATTTCATGTAAATAAACAATGTATTTTACACACGTTGTATACGTCGCTATGAGTCCCATATCTACCAGAACGCGGCGCGACGACCACTGCCCTTCAACCTGAAAACAAAACTTGTGCCCATCACCTCGAGTTTTAATCGGCCAGTCATAAATTTAATAACCAAATTAAATGTTATGATCGGCCTGTGGCAATACATTGTTTCTCACTGGATACAAATTGCAGGCAGTAGTTAGTGTAGTCCCGACAGTAGTTGTATTCACGTATATGTTATTTTATTATTTTAAGGAGCCACAATGGATACTTGTCAGTATAGTATTGTGCACGAAGGCTGTCGCCAAAAACAGAGCCCTTTTGTTTTCTTATTCAAGTTGACGTTGACCACCGGTATTGGTTTAATTTTGAAGATGGATCAAACCGAAACAATATTCATGTACGCTTGTATCTACATAGTAAAACAATCTGATTAATATCCCTTGTAACTATTTCAATTGCCATTTTTTATTTGTTCATTTGTGTCAAGTCACCAGTGAATTTATAGGAAGTGAAGCAAGTAAATAACACCAAATACATGGCAAGGTCAAAACTATGTTAAATCAAAAGTTATTAAATATGCTTTACTCGGGATTCCCGGTTTACTAATGGTTGCCTACGCAGTGTCTACCCATGAGGTGTAGTTGGACGATTTAGCGCCGTACGAGAGCGTCGGTTGGGTCATGCACGCAATACATGTTTACTTTGATTCAATGCCATTACTCAAATAACTGGCGACACAGTGGCGGATCTAAGGGGGTTCTGGGTCCGCCGCCCCCCCCCCCCCCCGTTGAAAATTTATTCAAATTGTTTTTGTATAATATAAAAAATCATTAACTTAGTCTGGCGATTTAAAAGTTTCGACCCTCTCCCCATAAAAAAAATCCTGTATCCGCCCCTGCGACATATATCGTGAATCATTCTGTACTTTTCATTATCCAAAGTTTCCAAAATCTCAAACAGCATCTTATCCAGAATCAACCCATCATCTTATCCAGAATCAACCCATCATCTTATCCAGAATCAACCCATCATCTTATCCAGAATCAACCCATCATCTTCAGTTGCTAGATATAAATTGTTCAAAGTATAGTTAACATTTTCAAATGCAAATAAAAGCATTTATATTATAACATTATCCATTATATGGATTCAGACTGCATATAGAAGTCAACTCATACTAGAAACATTACTTACAAAAACATACAGCTTTTTTACATTACTTTTATTCAGTATTTACAAAAAAAAGTTTTAAAGGTGTTAAAGTGTAATATTCAAAAAATATTCATTTTTTTTCACAATTTCACATTACATTATAAGTACACGTGAAACATATCTAAATAATGTAGCGGAGAGGAGGGGTATAAATACACTTAGAATATAATTTTGATGCAAGAAAGCAAGCATTTATTGCATGGATCTATACAGAGGAAAGCAAAGAACACAAGTTCATGCAGAAATCACATCAGAGTCATTCCATCAATAAGGTGTAGTAGAAGTTATATTTGTGCTTATTGCACATACATGTCATATGCACAGTAATAAATTGCATGTATACAGTATTTTTTCTGTGCATTACATGCTATTTAAGCAGTGAATTTCCAATTATTACAAGGTAATATTTACTATAACAAAGCAAGGGTGGATGTGAGGCTTGTATAACACAAGGATACTCAGACATTCTTGGGTGCCATTCACAATTATCATACCAACCAACATTAAGTGGGTCAATGTCAGTAAGCTCAACTCTACCTCCCTGCCTATTTCCATCATGATTGCTGAAATATCGCAGTGACATAAAACAAACAATAAACACCACAACATTCTAAAAAATACTTATCAAGCTATGGACGGTTGTGATATCTGTACTTAATATGCCTTTTGTGCCCACACCCTCGATAAACACCACACATATAGTTCACATAATTATACATTTATTTGACTTTCAGTAAAAAAAAAGCCTTAAATTAATTTCCTTGATTCTGTGACCATGCTTGTTAAAAACTCAGCATAATTCTCATGTATGTACACAATCTATTGTATAAAGTCTATTGACCAATCATATGGCCGACTGCATAAACAAGTCTTGATATACACAAGTTTAAAAAAGGTTAGACTTTGACAGTCTCTCCACTGGCGTATGTCATATATTCTGTTTTGTACATGCGTGGTACTGAGAAGATTTCCTTTGGGCCTGGTTCCGGTAGCACCCATGGCGTATCAACAGGACAAAGGTAATTTTGTTTCATTCTTAGGTCAGATGGTTCAATGTATTTGGCTTGTTTTTCTGTCCGCATTCCACTACAAAATGAAGGGGGAAAAAAGAAAGAGGTTAATTATTAACAAGTTCAAATTTTTAGTATATTTTCTGATCTCAAATTCGTTGTGAAACAACTTTGTTAAAGGGTGGTGGTCGTTGTGCCACATCCTGTTCAATAGGGACTCATAGTGACCTACACAGCTCATGTAAAATACACTGTTTATTTACATAAAATTCAAACATGCGTTCAACCTCCACTTTTTAAGGAATATTTGCTATTACAATGTTCGGCCATGTTGTGTTATAACACGTCTGATATCACATTTAGTATGATAAAAACATCCTATATGTAGTTACAAAAGCTTTCTCAGTATAAACAATGTGAATAATAAAGTTGAACTCATACGACAATCTTCAAATAACAAAATATATTTTTGAAAAACCACATTTTTAAAAACCTCACCTGTGTGGAACTCTCTTGAATTTTTCTGGCCACCTCACTGGTTCCTTTATCCTTGTCTTAAACCAAATATCATCTCGCATTGGAAGTCGTTCCCTTGGTACAGAGCCAGGTGGAAGAGGACTGTCAAGAAAATGAACATTGTTAGTTTATTGAATGATAATTATGTAAGTATACCTTTGGAAACATTAATTATGCAAACAGTATGAATACACATGCAAAGAATACTTACTTGTGCTTAGTTCCGTGTCCCCATGCTTGAGGGTAGTCCTCACATCTCCAGTATGTTGCTGCATCTTTCTTTGGGTACCCTGAAAGCTCTCGTTTTGCATATGGTCTGTGATCTTTATGTGTTGTGCTAATGTAAGGATCTAACTCAGTAAGGATAGCTGGATCACGTGCATAAAATGGTCTACCTCGTAGCTCCTGGTTTTCCGTTGATGGAACCACACTCTGCAATAAAAATTAAGCAAGAAAAATTTGAAATCAATACCAGTCAAAATTTACTGTGTTATTTCCAATTCAATTTGGATATTATTTGACAAAATGATGAGTACAAAAAACTTAGCTGAGAGGAAATAACTAAAATTATTTTTCATAAGATTTGAATATAAATAAATTTGAGTCCTTGGTACTTACCTTCATTGGACCATTTGCATGGTGGTTTTCGAGCAATGGTGGCAGTGGATTGGTTCCTGGCACAAAGTTATCGAAGTTTATTTTGGATGGAAGTCCTTTATAATTAGCTTGCATTTCTGTTTCCATGCTACCTGTAGTCAAAGGTCGTCTCCACTGTCTGCCTTGAAGCTGTAATGGACAAACAAAAAATGGTCTTCATTCAGATTACAATTTATACACATTGAGCTGGCAACTTAGGAGCTGTACAAAAATATCTGTAAACAGCAGACTCAGTTCTAAGGATACTAAAACATATAAACACCTACCACACAACTGACAAATACATGTATCAAATTTATAGAGAAGAGACTGATTCTTTGCGATCAAAACCGGCAATGAGCGTTGAAACAAGATGGCTGACACACACGCACAAATCAAAATAAAATCGTTTGTTGCTAGGTACTGAAATAGTAGGACTAAAAAAGAAGATACAAATGGATACTATGTATCACAAATAAATTGCTAAGTATTGCTACAATGAGTTAGGTCTTTAAACTACCCCATAATCCTTTGCAATGTCATTCATAATATTCAGTCAAGCAGAAAGCATTTAACAGTCTTCTGTTGTGCTACAGTATTTGCAGGGAAGGCACCTGGTTTCATTTTAATGGTTTGCTACATGGCAAATTTTATAGCTGATCTTTACCAGCAGACTGCCACTTTGGACATTTTTCCCCTCATGCCCAAACTTTTTTTCTTATAATTTTTCATCTGCTCCTAAATTATTAGGCTTGAACAGAGAAGATCAAAACCATGAGTAGAACCCCCCCCCCAAAAAAAAAAAACCAGTAGTTTTGAATAACCAATCCCCTTACTAAAATATAGGGGTAGAGGTTACAAGCCAATCTGTATTGGAAAAAGTCTGAACCTGCTGTTTGATTGAAGCATTGTTAGCCGAGCACAGAAACTTGTGAAAAGAGTATGAATGCATATTGTTCGTACATTGTGGTTTTTATTAAGATCAAAACAGCTCTACCTTACAATCCATTCAAGTTAGCAACCTTATTTACCAGTGGCATTAAGAACTGTATATCAAGAGAATTAGGGCAGTTGTGAATTAGATTCTCTCCAGTGAACTTGAATTCTGTCACAACTTAATCTACCCCTCAATAAGAAATTGGACAACAAAGTCTTAACAGATGATTGAAAAATACAAACAAAATAGGAACAGTAAAAATCTTTATTAATACTCACTTTTTCATGTGTGTCTTTTGTATAATGTACTTTCCAATTACCAGGAGCCTTCTTGTGAAGATCATTTGAATACACTCCACCACCCATTTTATAATCATGAACATCTCCTGTGGTAGTGCTGAAAGGTTTTATGATCTCATCTTGCTTGGCGAGTTGTGGTGGCAAAGGATTGTGAATTGTTTGCTGTGAGAAACAAAATATTATGATTATATAATATGCAGTTAAATACAATTAAATCTAATCAAACGAAAAGGTAAATGAAGGAAAGTTTTATTTTTCAAGAAATCAAATAAGAAATCAGTTTTTAGCACAAATTGTGGAAATTTTCCTAAATAGAAGACATCAATGTCAGGACTACATTATTTAAGTAACTTGAAAACTGACCTTAATAAAATAAATTTATTTGTTATACATTTATTTGTATGATTCATTAATAAATTAAACATTTTAGGGTAATGGATGATTTCATACCAATTAATTACTATATGTTATTTTCACAAGTTTAATCAAAGTGTCTTTCAATCAGTGTCAGTAACTGGGGAAAAAATACTTGTACCAGTTTAAAAAGTATTTAATATGAAATTAGACTTGTAAACTTTGACAAAGTTAACACTTGAAAAGCGCTGGGAATCGTAAATATGTCATTACAGCCCTGAAAATTGTTTATCGATACAATGCAAATAAAAACAGACATCTTTATTAAATTTAATAGACTACTATTCTGTGCGATAAAGTACTCGGTAAACATTATTTTGAAAAGTAATTCAATATTATATTGGCTTTAAAAATACTTAGCATTGACTCAAAGAAAAGACCTAGTCATTTTAGTGACTGAAGCCCTGTTAATTGCCTTATTGATTACTTCAATTTTGCTGTTGGATACTCGTTCTACAAGTGAACGAAGAAATGCCGTATAAGCTGCAATACATCGGTACGAACTTCTATTTTTCACGTTAATTGTTCGTGGGCAAAATGTTTTAAAATGTAATTCGGAAAATGATTTAGTATTAGCATGGAACTATAAAGTGGTTGTTCTTCCTGGGGTTTATAGTTCCATGGTATTAGTATAGTAAACGGATTGCGGACAGCTGATCATCTGATCGTTTCACGGGTGAATACTTCCTGTTCAGGCTGTTGCTGTGTAGTGTTGACCGTCGCCGATGACACAGTACCATAGCGTTCAAAACGTTCGATTGAAAATTGACACCATAATTAACACATATACACACAATTTGGTGTCTGTATTGTTGAACGGGTCGTCGGTAAATACATACAACGCCACCACGTAAAGCACAATCCTGCATTAACCATTGTCGTCGAACATGGGTGTGAGTGAAGAGAGTCAGTAACAGATCGCGAACGCGTTCTGTAAAATCGGCTCCACGGCGTAAAAAATATCTTACCTTAAAATCAGAAGCAGGGAAATAATATGCTGGCCTCCAATCATGGCCTCTTCCCGTACTTGTCTGGTGTAAGTCGAACCGTTTTGGTGCTGGAGGAGCCGAAAGCGACATGGCTACAACAGCATGAACTAGACGCTCTACTACAATGTTGCTATGTCCAGACAACGCCACTTCGTGAATATTCATTGTTTGTTCTCCCATTGCCTAGCAACAACTCGCAAACAAGAAAAGGCTGCCACCAACGGCCATATCTAGTCTGAAAGCATTATTCGTTTTTGGTTCGAATTCATTCACAAGTGGAATCAAAGAAAGCTTAGAAAGAACTGCCATGTGCTGAGAGTATTGGAGACACATTAAATATAATTTGAAATTACTTAGCTGAAAACTAATTATGCAAATCAGAAAATTAATATGAACAGATTTGAGTGTAAAACTAATGAGGTCTGCGCAATGTAACAGAAAATCTAAAAAAATATCTATGCATATTAAACTATGTACCAAGTTTAATTGAAATGTGATTAGAACCAAAAAATTATGAATTATTATGCTAATTAGGGAATTAATATGTACAGATTTTTACCCAAAACTAATTAGGTTTGTACATTGTCTTAGAGCATCTTTGTACAAACATTCATTGATATGTGATGACTAGTACCTGAGATATCACTGTGTGAAAGTTGGAAATTGGTTAATTATGCAAATTAGGTGTTTAATATGCACAAATATTTACCGAAAACTAATTGGGTCTCTGCATAATTCTAGATTCATTGAAATGTGATGATTAGTACTTTAGATATCAGTAGAAAGGCTGAAAATTAATTATGCAAATTAGGTAATTAATATGCACAATTATTTACCCTAAAACTAAACAGGTCTCTGCATAGTCCTAAAGGATCTATGTACCAAGTTTCATTGAAATGCAATGATTAGTACTTAAGATACCCGTGGAAAAGCTGAAAATTAACTAATTATGCAAATTAGGTGATTAATATGCACAAATATTTATCCGAAACAATCAATCTCTGCATAGTCCTTGAGTATGTGAGTACCAAGTTTCATTGAAATGTAATGCTTACTACTTATATCAAAAGCTGAAAATTAATTAATTATGCAAATTAGGTAATTATATGTACTGATATTACCATAACAAGCAGCCTCTCGGCTGAGATAGCTCCGCTGTTAGCAATGCACATTTCAATTAAAGAACAGAAGATATCATTAGAAAATGAACAATACGTATAGTATCAATGCAATGGGACTTGCTGTTTTCAACAAGAATTCAAAAATTACATTTTTCACCATAAATGATTGTGGTTTTTAACAAGAAGAAAATATCACTTTTTACCAAAAATGACAAAAATATTCACCAAAATTAGAGAATTAAAGATATCATTACAAAATGAACAAATCTGAAAGAGGTCCACATGTAGTACCTATATATGTAATATCAAAGCAATTGGACTTGCGGTTTTTAACAAGAAGTCGAAAATATCACTTTTTACCAAAAATGACAAAAAAGTTTACCAAAATTAAAGAATTGACGATATCATTATAAAATGAACAAATTTGAGAGTGGTCCACTTGTAGTACCTATATATGTAATATCAAAGAAATTGGACTTGTGGTTTTTAACAAGAAGTCGAAAATATCACTTTTTACCAAAAATATTCACCAAAATTAGAGAATTAAAGATATCATTACAAAATGAACAAATCTGAGAGTGGTCCACATGTAGTACCTATATATGTAATATCAAAGCAATTGGACTTGCGGTTTTTAACAAGAAGTTGAAAATATCACTTTTTACCAAAAA